CAAGTTGGCAACAATGACGAACGATTTCGGAAACGATCAAAATAATAAGTGCAAAAGGTGTAAAACTAGTGCACTTAGTGGACCTAAATGTGTAAAATGTGGTGTAGTGAGCCATAGTAGCTGCCTTAAACTATTAAAAAATATCAAATTTATTGATGACAAAAATGTTCAATGTTGTGACGATGACCTTGATCTGACCTTTGAAAGTGCAAGTAGTGATACAATTCTAGGAAACGACGCTAACAGTGTAGAAAATCATTATCTGAAAGAACTGTTGAAACACAAGGATGCACATATCCTAAGCCTTGAAGATAAAATCCAAATTCTAAAAGAACAAATAAATCTTCTAAAACAACTAGCTCCACCTGGTGAGAAGACTGATGAAAACACAGCACCAAATAAGACACCAGTCTCTACAAATTCAAAAACCTCTGACACAAAACTAAACTTTAAAAACAATTCAACAAAACCGAAGAACACAAACCAACAAATTCCAATCATTACAAATTCCCAAATGACAGCGGCTATAAGTTCCGCGCTTAAACCTGACGTCATCGATAAAAAAGATGATAAGAACAAAGAAAGTAATAAAACTACTAACAAACATAAAAAGCATAAACAAACCAATGCGTTTATTAAGGGGACAAACAGCTCTGACACTCTTAAAGTTGTGGAAAAGAACGCCTGGATTTACATAACGAATCTCCATGAAGAAACCACCGAGAAACAAATAGAAGACTACTTAGCTTCAATCTGCAAAACCCAATGTGAAAAACTTCCTCAAAATCATAACAACAGTAAAAAAAGTTCCTTTAAAATATGTGCCCCTTATCAATACAAAGACAACATTCTAGATGGAAAAATATGGCCTGAAGGCACCCTAATAAACAGGTATTTCTTTCCAAAATCTAGCAACTCAAGACCTTTTTTAGCCAAAACATTAACCAGCAGCTCTGCGTCATGAATTTTAACATACAGGGCCTCTCCAATAAAACTGGACAACTGGAAACAATTCTCCAAGAAAACAAAGTAGACTTACTCTGTTTGACAGAGCATCATCAGCGTGAAGTTATCGACTCATTAAAAATTGGCGATTACAGTGTAGTTACACACTTTAGCCGAAAAAACTTTAAAAATGGCGGTGTTTGTATTCTCTCACACAAAAACTGTATAACTCAAAAAGCTACTCAGCTTCACTCCGAAGAAAAAACCTTTGAAATTTGTTCAGCCATATTTTCAATACCAAACTATTACAATAATATTTGTGTTACTTGTATATATAGATCACCATGTGCAAACTTTGACTTATACATTGATAAATTGGAAAAGTATTTAATTAACAATTTTAACAAAGATAACATTAATATTATTTGTGGTGACTTTAATATAGATTTTCTTGGTAACTGCAAACAATCACAAACATTAAAAAATTTACTGCTCGAATATAATCTTAAACCAACCATATTTAAACCAACAAGAATATCAAAATATTCCGCTACCTGTATTGATAATATTTTTATAGATATCCCATATCAATCTACAACAGTTCATGAATCTTCTTTATCAGATCATACCTTTCAATTAATAAAAATAAATATACAACACGAAAACTCTCCTGAACAAACCAGTACTCTTCATCGAAATTTTACAAATTATGCTAAACAAAATATATTTTTTGACTCAATTAGTAAAATAAATTGGGATTTAGTTTTAAATGAAAACGACGATTTAAACACATATTTTAATAGTTTCTATTTTAAATTTTTAGAAATTTTTAATGCGTGCTTTCCCCTAACATTAAAAAAACAAAAAACAAATATCAAAACAACGAATAAATGGTACACACCAGAATTAAAAAATGTTTCAAAATTACTGAAAGAAATGCATTGTATTAATAAACAAATTAATAATAACATATATGATAAAAAATATAAAGAATTAAAAACATTTTACAACAAAAAACTATTGCTTTTAAAAAAAACATATAATAATCAAAGAATTTATAACGCAAAAAATATAAACAAGGAGAGCTGGAAAATAATACAAGAAAGCAATAAAAATAAACACTCAATTAAAAATAAAATAGAAACAATAACAAATGTAGATGGTAAAAAATTAATAGATAAACACGAAATTTGTAATTGTTTTAATAACTTCTTTACAAGTACTCTTAATAATTACAAACCAAATGGACCAAAAACTACTGGTATTAAAAACCAAATAAACTCAATTTATTTAAACCCTGCAACACCTATGGAAATACAAAAAATAATTAATAAGGTGTGTAACAAAACATCATCGGGAATAGACGAAATTCCTGGAAAAATTATAATATTGGTAGGTATTCATTTATCACAACCCCTAGCAAAAATTATTAATAAAAGCTTTACTGAAGGCTCTTTTCCAGATGTTCTAAAGACCTCAAAAGTTGTACCTATATACAAAAAGAAGGGCGATGCCAATGACCCTGACAACTATAGACCGATTGCCCTGCAGTGCCACTTTTCGAAAATTTTTGAAAGTTGCTATAACTCGAGGCTTTTGGAATATCTGGAGAAGCATTCCCTAATTTTTCCAAATCAAAATGGTTTTAGACCAAAGCGATCTACCTATACTGCTTTAGACCAGGCTCTCGATAGTATTTATAAATCTCTTAATAACAAAACCCGAACACTTGGTATATTTTTTGATATGAGTAAGGCCTTTGACACCGTCGATCACCATTTGCTCATTGAAAAAATGTTTAAAATGGGTGTACGTGGTCCAGCACTAGACTGGATTAAATCATACTTAAGCTGTAGAACCCAGCAAGTGGTGATTGAGGGTTTTCGATCGAAAACCCAAAAAATCACAAGGGGCACACCTCAGGGATCTTGTATATCGCCTACTTTGTTTAACTGCTTTATTAACGATCTTATTCCAAAAATAGACAATAACGCAACTGCCGTCCTATACGCAGACGATACCAATGCAGTGATTTCAGATACAAATATAGGTGATGCTATCTTTAAGGCACAACATGTGATAACAAATATGACACAGTGGTGTCTTGAAAATGGCATCCAACTCAACTCGTCAAAAACAGTTGCCATGCAGTTTTTTACAAAAAATCAAAGTATTGACTACTCACTATTATTACGAGTTAACAACAGCTCGATTAAAAATGTATCCAGCACAAAATTTCTTGGTCTAGAGCTAGACTCTAAACTTACTTGGTCAAAGCATATTGGATCCTTAGTATCTAAACTTAGCAGCCATTGTTACCTGTTATTTAATCTAAAAGGTACAGTGTCACTTGATGTACTGAAACTATTGTATTTTGGTCTTATACAATCAGTTATATCATATGGTTTGCTCTACTGGGGATCATCCAGTGAAATAGACAAAGTTTTTGTCTTACAAAAAAAGGCTATACGGTGCATAGAGGGGGTCTCAAAAAGTACCTCTTGCAAACCTATTTTTAAGAAATTAAAAATTATGACTCTTGCTAGCCTGTACATATACTCACTGGTTGTTTTCATTAAAGAAAATAATATAAACACAAAAAGACACGAATTCCATAACTACGAAACTAGGCAACGCAATAATCTGCAGCAACCATTTGATAGACTTAGCACTTGCCAAAAAAATCCAAGATCTTTAGGTATTAAAGTCACCAATCATCTTTTAAAAAAATACGAATGTCTTCAACAAGCCAACTTAAATAACTTAAAATTTAAACTAAAACAAATTCTTATCGACAAATGCTACTATAGTCTCGAAGATTTTTTCTCCGATAGTTAACATATTAAAAACATTTTTATATTTATGAAATAATTGTTATATTGTTTGTCTTATATATGATTTGTTATTTACTATTTATTTATTTCATGTATGTATATCTTAATGTGACGACCCCTAAAATGTAATAATATGCTGTATTGTTATATTCTGTGGAAATAAATATTATTATTATTATTATTATTATTATTATTATTTTTCTCTATCAGTCTTAGAAAAAAAGAGATAGCATAGTCCACTCTACCTTTTGAAATAAACATGGTCATTATATCCTAACCTTTATTTAAAGTCGAGCAAAAGTTAAAAAAGAATAGACGATATTTGAAACAATTATTGCTTAACATACATAAAGATACCTTATATTTAATACAAAAGTAAATATTTTATTGCCAAGAATTATAACATTTGTATCAAAAAATACTTATTCTGAAATTAAGCAGTGTATATTTTATTTGAGGGTGCTTGCATTTAAAAAATATGATAGTTTTTCGTGAAATAAGAATAAGTTTACCCTTGCAACGAACATTCAAATTATATCCAAATAAGTACAGGTTAGTTCTTGCATTCAACTCCCTATATCGTTCAAATAAGTGTTGCTGTTCTCGGACAGTGTTGCCAGATTTTACTATAAGTTACTTGACAAATACAATAATAATAAAGTTCCACCTGGTAAGTTGATTGTGCCCGCTTACTTGACGAATGTGTTTTCGTCTGATTAAAAATTTCCTACGTGTAAGTCTATTGAAAGAGGTTTTTATAAAACATACGGGCGCCCTAATCTGGTCGTAAAAGGGCGAGGGGCGACCGTCATGAACCGACCCACTCAAAAAATAGTAAGGTTGTGTGGTGCAAGAGAACGCACTCGTTAAATGTACATTTCAAATAAACTAAAAGGGATTTTTATTTGTTTTTGTTTGTGAATGCCAAAATACAGATTTTGCTTTTAATTTTACTACTATATATATATTTTAAAATTATAAAAATTATACTAAAAAAAGTTTATAAAATGACCCCTTTTACCCCAGTCTAAAATTTCATGGCGGAATTGTAGGGTTGTGGTTTTAGTAGTGCGCACTCTTGTCCGCTCTCGCGTTAATATTATTGCCGAATGACCCGCGGCTGCACTCAGCCCATCGGGAAGGAGGCAAACACACACTACTTCACTCTCGCTGACTGGCACGGTGAGGTTAGGACAACACAATAGTTAAATTTGTGGGCTAGTCGGACTTAATACTCTGCCCGATTCGTGCGCTGACTTGCCCGCTCCACTCTTCTTTTATTTCGTGTGATTTCTAGCGTGCCTATCGCTTTCCGTTTTTGTGCGCGTTACTGCGATCCAAACTGCTCCTATTTACCTACATATATCGTCGGTATTTTGTTGTGTTTCATTTTTATTGCTGTTTTGTGTTTGTTGTTATTCATGTTATTGGATTTAAACTTTACCGCAGTTGTTAAAAAGGTACGTCTGAGTTTGTTTGTAGCAACGTGTTGCTCTCTTGTTTGAGATGTTGCCACATCTCGCCATCCCTATCTTAGAGATTTATTGATTTATATAAAGCATCTCTGCTTTTATAATCAGAATATATGTATTATAATTATTTTTTCATATATTGCTAATATTAGGTTAGTTATAACTAACCTAATATTAGCAATATATTATAATAACAAATTGTATATTATGTTATGTATTGAATACTTAATATTATCTAAAAAATTATTTAAATTAAATATTTGTATAAAACGACGTAATTTTTACCAATTGCACGTTATTATTTTAATTAAATTTAACAATTATTGATACTTTAATAGTATATTATCGAGTATATTATGTTTCAAGTTTGATAAACTCCATTTTATCGCAAGCTCGATCGTGCCTAAATTAATGAGTGTATAGAAAAGTTTATAAACGATGTCCATACTATACTTTTTCTACGACAAATACTTATTATTATCTTAAAATGATTTAAATCAAAAATTTGTATAGAGCGCCATCTATGAAACAATAGGGGAATCTGTGTGTCACCGTCAGATGTCAAATTTTTACATTTTATAAACACAGATTATAAAGGTTATAAATCGAAATGTATTTCTTGAAAATTGACAGTTTTTCACAGTGAAAGTAAAGAAAATGTTTTATGAGCACTTTACAGTGGAGTCCGTGCCCGAATTTAAGTTATAGTTTACTGCCGGCGAAATTAAAAGGTCACTACAATGTTCATATAAACTTTTCAAATATTGGCGTTGAGAAACTATTTAATACTTTTGTATTTTTGTATTGAGATAATAAAATAATTTTCACATTTAGTATTATTTTACAAAAAAGGCAATTTATTTTAACGATTGTATGACATTTGTCAACTGTCAACTAACTTAAAACTAACTTCAGTCCGTGAGTAAAAACCTGTTGCTGTGTATTTAAAAGGTAGTGAAAAAATATTTTTACGCTAAAATTTAAAATTACAAACATTAATCAATAACTGAATAATTTTCGACAGGATTATGACACTATGTAATTTAAATTTTAGTGTAAAATTTTCTTATTAGATTTTTTTATTTAATTTTAAACCCAAAAATATTAAGTGCAATCAATTATACAAAATCAACGTTCAAAATGTTATTGCCATATTAAAACAATTTTAAACTTTTATAATTATTTGTTTATTTTGCCTCTACTATAAATTGATTGATTACGTCACCCGCAAAATCATGACTTACAATATATGAATGTTTTATTTCTCAATATACAAAACGTTCTTAAGCATAAATGTTAAGAATTACTTTACGTAATAATAAAAAGTAATACACACCTTTAAAGATGATTTTAATAGATTTTCCTAATTTATTTTCGTGTTAAGTAATCATTTGTTGGAAACAAAAACATATTTTCGTATTGTTGTGCTAAAAGCGTGAATTAAATTCAAAATTTAAAGACAGTGTCATAGACCTTATAAACGTGATGTCATTTATAAAAAAAAAAATATTTTCTGTAATGGTTAGTAATGGTAAGAATATATTAAAAGTATGTATAATAATAGGTATATGTCACTGGTATTAATAAGTCATACAGTTTTAATTATAAGGAATTAAACAATAAATAAATTAAAAATTAAATTTAAAAACTCGAACATTAAAATGCCCTAAAAATGCCTTAAACCGCTTAAAACCAAAATTATAGAGTTCTGAGCTGCGTAATGTTAGGGTGCATCTGGCAACCGCGCAGTCGATTTGAATAGGTAAAAACAGGTAGTAGGCATTGCATACGCGCCCGTTGCTATGGTTACCAGAAGGGCCCTTCTCGTGCGTGGGCCCGCTAGCTTGATTCTTGGAATGTCTTGTTCCTTCTTCGCTTATATCTATTAAAGGTATATAAGAAAAATTCCTCTTAGGTATTCTCCGCGGTCATGGCTTCTCTCTTAAGATGGACAGCTCCGATGAATTAATTTTTGGTAGGCTCAGGATAAATGTTAATTTAAAAATCTGAATGGTAAAAAAGTAAGAAAAAACCTTGTTTGGAAAAAAGTATAATACATTTATAAATTTTGTAACTTAAAATCCCATGTCTACTCATCATTCTTATTGTGCCTGAACCAGTCAAAAAAAAAATTCGTTAAATCTCTTACCTACAGCATGATCAAAATCATGGAAGTTACCATATTTTTTGCACTGAGACAGCCTGCAATTAAAGAAACACGTACCTACCTAATGGATATGTTTTTTTTGTCAGTCTTGGTCTTATACAAATTAATGGTTTTCGTTTCACGAATTGAACGAACAAATTTCGCTAACGGACCGGCACGTAACAGGTAGAAACAAATGGTCCAACTTCCGTTTCCACTTGCGTCACTTCCGGCGCGCTAATCTCTTTCTGATTGCCCAACTTTGACATATATATTAGACCTTCACGTCAACGCGTCTGACGTATTGTTATCCCCGGTGTACAATCCCCATCCGTTCCCCCCTTTGCCGCCCAATTTGCTCCAAATTGCCCCTTTGCATTCCTCGGCCCGCTGAAGTTAATAAGATTTCTTGACGGTCGGATCAAAGGTTGAGTTGATTTTTTGGAATTAAAGAGGTCCTTAATCTAGTTAATGTTACTTCCACTATCCACTAAGAAATACAATTTTGCCTATAAAAATATTTTACCAAGCTTTCTTATGTCGACTGCGCCACTTGATTTACAAGTCTATGACATTTTACAAAATCCTTTGTCAATAATTCAACTATAATTCTTGTAATTTTCAAAAGGGACCTTATTTTTACAAACCTTTTTGTACCCAGTAACAAAAGTATTTGTTGGAAATTGGAAACTTAATAAAATGAATATGGATAAGAAATTTTGCTTTATTAATCAATTTCCTAAACAAACAAAATTAACACATACCTACATATTTATAAATGAACACAAAAATAACATATTCTCTAAAAATGATTTAGTCAAAAATTAAAATAATTTAATAGTTATTAGTGGCTGCTTTTTCACTTCTACCATGGTTAACCATGGAATACCATGGTATCCCAAAATTTAACAGCTAATTCTTATCTAAAATTATCCCCTGAATCCGAAAATACAAAAAATTATGAAAGTGAAGTAGTTTTTGAGATATAGTCAATTCCATATTAAATGGAAAATTGACTATATCTCAAAAACTGTTCCACTTTTTTAACTTTTGACGACATTTTCTGATTCAGGGGACAATTTTACACAAGAAATGGCTGTTCAATTTTGGGCCACTAATTATTAAATTAGTACTTTTTGACTAATTCATTTTTAAAGAGTACACACAATTAAAGAACATACCATTCTGAAATCATCAAATTATAAAGAAACTTGGTACAATATAACTATTACAACACTTACTGATGTATTTCGTAACTTTAACCAACTTCACTGTATCCCCTAATTTTAGTTTGAAAACCAGTTATGGCATCTTTTTTCGCATATATAAGTATACTTCTTACTTACGGTAAAATATTTTTTCTACTCCCACCTTTAAAACGCCCTTTATCGTACATGTTTCCATGACACTAAGTAACCTTTTAAATACACATTGACAAGTTGTGGCTTTACGGCGCTTTAGTCACGGGCTAAAGTTAACAATAGGTTTTAAGTCACGGGCTGAAGTTAGTTTTAAGTTAGTTGACAGTTGTCAAATGTCATACAATCGTTAAAATAAAGTGCCTTTCTTGTAAAATAATACTAAATTTGAACATTATTTTATTATCTCAATACAAAAATACAAAAATATTAAATAATTTCCCAACGCCAATATTTGAAAAGTTTATATGAACATTGTGCTGACCTTTTAATTTCGCCGGCAGTAAACTATAACTTATATTCGGGCACGGACTCTATAGAGTATACTGTAAAGTCCTCAAAAAACATTTCCTTTACTTTCACTGTGAAAAACTGTCAATTTTCAAGAAAAATTTCGACTTATAACCTTTATAATTGTGTTTATAAAATGTAAAAATGTGACATTTGACAGTTTCCCCTGTTGTTTCATAGATGGCGCTCTATACAAATTTTTAATTTAAATCATTTTAAGATAATAATAAGTATTTGTCGTAGAAAAAGTATAGTAAGCACCTCGTTTATAAACTTTTCTATACACTCATTAAGTTAAGCACTCGCTCGCAAGCTCGCTCGTGCCTAAATTAAATTCGTGTATAAAATGGCGTTTATCAAACTTGATACATAATATACTATTCCTTTGTTAAAATAATTACAAACCAAGGTTTTATACAAAAAATTATGTTAAAAATAAATAATTTTGAGTGATGGTCATTAGGTACCTACCTACAACTAGGTAAACGTAAGATTTCAAAATTTATAAACATAAACAATTTCTCAGAATGTTTCCCACATCCCATTAATAAATATTTTTCTATGCTAATTCTAATAAGTTTCTAATGCATGTAGATGAACTAATCTTCACAGATTTTAACTTTTCCTTAGGTGTTACATAAAACCATTGCAACAAATTAATTCCCATTAAGATAAGTAGACATTTAAAACAAACATTAAATACATAAAAATTTAGTGAAATCCCATCTGTTATTTTTAACTTAAAGGGGGTCCTCATCAAATTTTTGTTATGTTACAGAATATTAAATGCCTATTTTAAACCCCTTGATACCAATTTTAGACTTCCTATACCAAATTATGTATAAGCTTAAAATGTCAAGCGAGAGTTACTCTAACCCCTACAAGATTCCCCGTGCACTACAAAACAAAACTATGTATGTACTTGTATTGAGAGCAAATCTAGTGTGTGTGTTTGCGGTTAAGTCGACACACCATTTATATCAGCTGTAATTCAATTTAATCCGAATATGTTGTTGCCGCATCTGTATCTGCGAATGCCCCCCCTCGCCCCCCCACGCTCCCCCCAACGCCGTGCGTGCTCATCCTGCAATTACGAACAGATTACATACAGACGTGTCGGCTAAATTGATATA